ATATGAAGAACAAATTCAGCGTTTCTCTTGATAAAATCTAAGGAATCGGTGTTTCTTTCTTTTTTTGCAGAATAATATTTACGAAACAAAATTTTTGAAGCTAAAAAAGCAGAACGAGCACTACACGCATTGATAGTGCAGTTTAAAAAAATAGCCGTTTGGCTGCAACATCAGACTACAAAACTAACAGCCGTTGCAAAGTTTTTGGCAGAAAAGCAAATGGGACAGATCTATCAAAAATTAGAGGAATTTTGGAGTTGAAGGGAAGAAATGAAAATGACAAAAATGCAAAAAAAAATTAGTGAGGGCGAAAAATTTTCTTTAGAGGGATGACTGAATGTTGATGAGTGGTTGAATGCCACTTTTGCGCGCAAATAACAGTAATAACCTTGCTTGTTCCTGCTCGTGTTCTTCCATTTCCTTTGGGCAACTTCGTCGACATCATTACCATCAAGAGTATTATTATTATCATTGCCAATGCTACTGCTTTTGCTATTGTTGCTATTATTATTATTATTATTATCAGTGTGATTAGCACGCTGAAAAAGCGGTGGTGGTTGCAGCGATGTAGTCAGCGATGATAATGTTGATTGTGATAATGTTGACAGTGATAATGATGATGGCGATAGTGCTGACAACGGAAAATATGACTTTTCAATAGCATTACAACGCTCCTGTATCATTTGTTGAGTTGGTGATAAGCGGCCGCGACTGTCCTTCGGTGATGCTTTGGAGCGGCCGCGACTGTCCTTCGGTGATGTTTTCTGTGGTATCGCGGGGCGCGGTTCAGTCACTGGTAGTAACATGATACGGGTTGTTTTTGGTGATTCAAGTGTTGGAGAACGTGACTGCGAAGATGCAATATCACTTCCTTCTTCCGGGATCACAGGTGGCATTGGCCATATGCGCCAATTGGCGGAATACTGAAAAAGCTAAGCGAACTATTTTCCCTTAAGAAAACAACATGTTTTTTTTTAGATTTCTCTTTTTTCTCGATCTGCCGCTGGTTTATTTTGACAAAGCCTAAAAACGTATAGTTAACATAATTTTAATTGACATAATGTTGCAGCTACTGCTCCTACTGGTATTAGTTCTTATCGTTTCTTCGATGCATGTGTAGTACCAGTTCA